CAGCCAAGTTGGCCCATTTTTGTATACAACGAAACAATAGAAAAGCTTCCTAGAAACCGGGTCACTCATTGATACTGTATTTCACTCAAGAAATGATTAGAAACTGTCACCAAAGAACAGTGGAGTTTGTAGAAGTAGGGTGGGGGTGGGGGTGAGGCATGAATGATAAAAGTTTGTTAATTTAATTGGCCTTGTTTTGAAAGTTTGGCTATGTGTGTCTTGGGGGTGGGGGAGCAGTGAGGGCAGTATTTCTTGCAAAGAAAAGTTAATTAGAAGAACATGGGCCATATGTTAATTATCCTCACATCTTGAGCATATGGTAGTATTTCCTTGGCACTCCGTAGTCCAGTGCAGCATTGCTTTTCTCTCCTGCATGGGTAGGAAGGTGCTGGTATTATATAGCCTGGGGATAAAGGGGAAATAAATGGTCTATATTTCCCTGTGTTTTGTATTGTCTCCACACCAGGAGAACACAATCTTTTAAAAGAAGGCTGCTACTGCAAGGGAAAACCCTTGCTAGAGTGAGTTGAATAGTATTCTTCTCAGAGAGTGTTTTGTTATTCATTATAAGCCCCATCTCCTTTTCAAAGGGTTATGTAGTTCAGACAGCTATTCAGAGATGGTAGACAATTTCAAGATCATCAGCCTAGCCTCCCACTTTCCCCCACCCATTCCTAAGAATCTCTCCTCAAGTTTCCTGACAGAATGTGAAACCAAGCCTTCCATTTGTGAAGCCATTCGACCATGCCCGTAGGAAAATCAGGTTGAACGTCAGCACCAGAGTTCATGGAAAACTATTTAGGACATTATGCTTCCTTTGATGGAGACCAGCCATGGAAATGTGTAATTTGTGTTCATGAAGAATTAGTAACAACTGAGAGAGAGATAGAGCCAACTTTTAATCCTATCAGTAACTCACTCTCATTTAGATGACTCTCTTACCTGGCTTCATTTTTCTCATAAGTAACATGGAAATATTCCCCAGATATTGCTGCTGGTTCCCTCAGAGCAAGAAAAACTCGCCAACAATTAAGTAGTGCACAGACCCTTTCAGCAACTCAAGGAAGAACACCAAAGTTTCTAAAGGTTTTTGTTAGCATTCTGAGATTTAGACTGTCATAAATACACACCAATCCATTGCTATTTTCTTTGACAGTCTGGACAAGCGTAACCTCCCTGAGTCGCTGTTTCACACCCACTCCTCAGGGCACTGAGACTTTTCCTGAGGAAAAGACTGAGGGCATCTATGATGTACCATTTGGCAAACAGCTCTGGTTCCAAGCTGTAAGAGAATCTTTGTTTGAGGGAGCAGATACGTTAGAGACGCTACACGAAATCTAACTACCATCACAAAATCCAACTACCAATCATACATACACACACATACACAGAGAATTTGGCCCTCCTTATGGTGTCTATTAATTCCTTGACAAGAAACTAGAAAGTCCATTCTACAATGGTTCACGTACATTCTAGTTCACGATTTCCAAATCTGAATGGTAAGCAATGCATCAGTTTCAATAACACGATGGAAAAAGTCAAATAGAATGCACAAATATTTTACATGTCACAGTCTCCACTGACGAGATCTACAATGAATTGACCAGAATGACTCAAAAATCTTTTATCCAATCCAATTTGAATCATAGATGGCAAAAGGCCTATGATGACATGCAAAAACAGGGAAGGCAAGATGAAAAGTTGTTACACGTCATGTTCCTAAAAGAAGCACAAGACCAAAAAAGAGCTAGAAGACAATTTGCAAAGATATCAAAAGTGATTTTCCTGGGGGAATTTCTTTCGACACTAAAGATATTTTTAAAAATGTTTTCCAGCCAGTCATGGTAGCTTACACCTGTAATCCTAGTACTTTGGAAAGCTGAGGTGGGAGGATTGTTTGAACCAGGTTTGAGACTAACCTGGGCAACATAGTGAGAATTCAAAAATAATAAAAAATAAAACAATTAGCTGGGCATCGTGGCACGCCCCTTCCTATAGTCCTAGCTACTCGGGAGGCTGAGGTGGGAGAATCCTCTGAGCCCAGGAGGTCAAGGTTGTGGTGAGTCATGATCATGGCATTATACTGCTGCCTGAGCAATGGAGTGACACCCTGGCTCAATTTTTTTAAGTCCCATTTTTCTATACTAGACACCCAGTGCATTTATTTTGGGGAGACGTTAAAAAGCTTAATGGAAACTAGACTTAACAAAAAGAATAATGTGAACCCACTAGTTCAGAAAACTATTCTCTACTAAATTTTTTTATAAAATAACTAAAACCTCCTGTGTCGATTTTGTCATGAAACCTGTTTCCTCTTCAATCAACTGTGCTTTAATAGACAAGATCCTAGACCAAGAGCCAAGAATCCAAGATTTTAGCCCCAATTCCTTCACTATCAGTCCCGTGACTGGCAGCAGGTAACAATGTATTTGGGCTTCAGCTGATTTATCTGCAGATTAGCTAAATCTGAGGAAGAAGACGTAGAAACGCAGGCTGAGAGGAAGAGGAGAAATGATAACATTAGTTCTGTTGTTAGTATTATACGATCCAAATACGCACTCTCTAATAAGCAGTGACTAAAGTCACCAGCCTCTCTTCAGTCACCTCTTTAGTTCACAGGTAAACCAGGTAATTATACATGAATTATTTGTTTCAAATTTTTTTCTTTACAGTATTTTTAATAAAGTCTGACAACCGAAAGTAATGTAGGCACCTTTTGTTCAAATAGAATGAGTCCAGAGAAGTGATAAATCCCAAAGGTTATAGAAATCTGAGTTCTAATCCCAATTCTCCTAGTTCATTGTTTTGGAAATATATTTGGCAAGATACTGATTCACTCATTGCCTTTTGTTCCCCAACTTTGCGGGAGGAAGTAAGGAGGAGCTTCATATTACTTGTCCCTCTTCTAATTCATTGGGATTGCTACAAGAACTAAGACAACATGAATTCCTAGTGGTGATTTGACGTGGAAACGTATGGTAGAAATGCAAAATATCCTGGAGATTGCAGTGTAATAAGTATGGAATTAACATAAGATATAGTAAAGAAATACAGGAAAATTGCCAGTGGAATTTTCCATTGATATTGGAATGATTCCCACCCTACCACCAACTCCGGAATCATAGCCAGGTTTCTTGAAGTCAAGGATTAATGGTCAGAAAATCAAGTTCTAGCAATTCCACGTATGGTAATAGTAATATAAAACAAAATAATGCACACCATGACATACACAATAATACACTTATAAGAAACTAGCAGTTTCGCTTATAGAATACACACTCATGTTATTTTTATTATGATTGAATAAAATAAAGTACTAAGAAACGCCAACAAAATCCTGGTGCTTACCTTACAGAAGCAGCTAGGCTGGGAGGTTACATTTATTAAAACTTTCCACCAAATCACATTCATAAAAAAGCTTTTCTATGGCTCAAAACTACTTTTAAAAATCTCAGAGATAACTACTTCTGATGTTACTTCTAAATTGTGGGAGAAGCTTATATGCTATGAATCTGGACTTTTAAAAGATGGCTATGAATATAAATCCATGATTTTCATGCAAAATCACATTCATAAATGCCAATACTTGGAAATTAAATGTATGAAAGTCCTGTGGGAAAGCACTTTCATTGTTTTCATGTTGTTATTTTTCAGTTGAGATTTAAAGCCACCTCTTTTTTTTTTTTTTAATCCCAGGATGTGCTATAGAAATCTATGAAACTTAATTACATTTACTGTTACAAAAAGGGATTTAAGAACTTTTGCCTTTAGGCAGAAATGTTTACTTCATTGCTTTTGCTATCCATTCTTTTCAACTCCTACAGCTTTGAACTCTTCAGCTGCTCAGAGTTATCACCGTTGCGCAGAGCTGAGGAACTCCACTCCCAAGACACACACCACAAGTTGAAGAAAACGAAGAAGGCAAAGATATACGAGTCGTTATTTTGGCCACCCTTTGTGCCATTAAAATCTCATTTTCTGCCTATTAGAATGCCCTCTTGGTGCTTAGGCAGCGGTGATAGTCAGTGATTAGTGTGTAATTGAGTATAATTGTCTTTTCACTTTTCATTTGTGTCATTCTGAGCTTCTCTCTGTTTTTCTAACCATCAAGAGGAAAAAGAGCGTTGAGAAAAGATAAAGCTGTTAAAACTCTCACTCTCAGCCCTGAAGAGATTCTCGATTGCAATTATAGATTGCAACCCTTTTGTGACATTTCTCCAAATTTAGCGGGCAGCTATCCTCACCACCTGGGCCAAACACTCTCTAATAAAATCAAGGGATCTGTATTTAAACAACTGCTAATAATGTCAACCTCAGACAGATGCCACATGTAGGAAATTTAACCAACCTTCTGACATGCAATTATCAAGGCAATTTATTAATATGATCTCCCCAGAAAAGCTCATAGTCCAATGCAAATTAGAAAAACAATTACAACATTCAAATATTTATATACTCCCAAAGAGCAGTCATTCTCCTAATTTGTGCATTTATAGCTCATTTATTCCAGAGTTTGTAGGCATCAGCTGGGTCCCTCTCCACATGACTTGTTTGCGTCCTCTCCAATGGTTTTGCCAAAGCTTTGGTGTTTTCTTATTGAGGTGATTTTGCGCTAAACCCCATTAGCTGACCAAATACCATTTAAAACAAAAAGCAAAATGAGAAAAAAAAAACAAAAAACTGCCAATGTTTGTGAACTTCTCAACCAGAGGCCAGAAGTAGAGCAGAGAAGACAATACACAACAAATACCTTCACAGTTAAGTATAAGCAGTCTCCATGATCACATCAAAAATCTCTTGAATTTTAAGTCTAAGCTACAACTTTTGATGCAGCCAGCAAGAAGGGTGGAGAGAAAGGAAACTAGAAAACTGAAATCATGTGGCTTGTATAAAGAATACATTATGGTTTAAATTTGGCAATTCATTACACTACCGCCTCAGGGAATTGACTATTGGTTCTGGTATACAGCAAATCGTCTGTCTAGAAACACGGGACTGACCTGAGGTGAAAGGCCATTGCCAATGGCGGGGTTCATGGGGTTGGAAGGCCCCGACGGAGGCACAAAGCTGTCTGTATAGCTGGAAAATCCATGCCTGGTGCTGGGGAGGCAGTAGGCAGAGCTGCTGTCCGGGTTGGAAGGAATAGTACTTTGGTGTACGGTGCTTGGAGGAAGTGGTTGAGGTCTGTGAACAGTGCTGCTGGGATCCGACACGGCTGAAATGAAAAAGTTCGTCAGAAGTCAAGTTTCTTTGAAGGCCAGCAAATAAAGTTCAGTGCAAAAGTTCACAAGTCACCAAGCCATCGGGAGTATGTATCGGTCAGATCGAATGTTCATCTCAAACTTCTTTTCTCAACATGCAGGTATAGAATCACTCCTAACAAATATAGTTACTCTATCTCTGCACATATTTGCAAGTTCATGACTATGTATATACTTTTATGACACATTCACCTAGAATACAAACACAGAAATCATATTAGCAATGCTGACAAGCCTATTTTGGTAGTGAATGTTATTAATGAAAATGAGAATTAACCAATAGGCAAATTAGTCAATATAAGGACTGCAATTCTCAAATTTCTTACCAAGTATACTTTTAAAGCACATAAATACTAGCATCATGATATCGTTTCAACAAATGCCTGGAATGCTATCTTTCCTCATTCAAAATAACTGAGTCTTACAATTTAACATTATCCCATTCACTTCTACATGCTAACAAATAGTGACTTTTCCAAAATTTGCCTTCCCTCTCTTCCTCCTGAAGTTAGCAACCATTATAGAACTCCAGTTAGTTACAAACTGGAATAAAACATAGAGATAAAATCTTTTTTTTGTTCTGAGTTGGAGTCTCACTCTGTCGCCCAGACTGGAGTGCAGTGGCCACTCCCGGCCACCGCAGCCTCGACCTGCTAGGCTCCGGCGATCCTTCCGCCTCAGCCTTCCAAGTAGCCGGAACTACAGGCGCACGCTACCACGCCTGGCTGATTTTTTTATTTATTGTAGAGATGAGGTCTCGCTGCCCAGGCGGGTCTCGAACCCGCGGGCTCAGGCAATCCATTCACCTCAACCTCCCAAAGGCGCGGGATTACAGGCTGAGCCACCGAGCCCAGCGAGATCAAATTTTAACAAAAAAGTCCCATGTTTGCTTAAGAAGTTATTTTGTTGGAAAATACTGCAGTGGTATCATATTACAACACAGTTTAGCTAGAGAGACTCAGATACATCATAGAGCAAATTGTGTTTCTGAAATGTAGTAGGTAACATCCAGGACAACGTAATGTAATATACTTAACACACAAACAACATTGATGTCAGCATCGCAGAAGGATTTCACTTGTATAAAATATTCACCCGAGAAAGCAATTTAGAAGTTACATTTTAACTCCTTGACTCTCTTCCTCTATACCTTGTGGAATAGACGTGGGCTGGTAAGAGGTCTCCGACAGCTGGTATGTTGGCAGAGTCGGCATGGCAGTGGGAGGGAACCCCCCCGGAATGAGATGGTTGAAAGCCATCAGTTGATTGGCCCCAGCTTGTTTCCTCCATCTTGCACGGCGGTTGCTAAACCAGACCTATGGATTTAATTTAACATTTGAGGATTTCACTGATGAAATATAAGTACATTCTTAATGAATTTTTCATGCTAAAACAGATTAAAGGGCCCTCACTGACAGGGCAAATAGATGCAAGAGCTCTCCACCTTCTGTGTTGTTTGGGAGAATTGTCAGGAGAGAAAGGAGAACTAAATGTCAGGGGTCACTGGAGGGGCTTCAAGGACCCTTCATGGTCTTCCAACAGCCCCCATGAACCTTGTGATGACGATGAGCAGGAGTAGGACCAACAGGAACTCCCCACTACGTCCATCAACACCCACCCACTTTCATATGTTACTGCCTTTTAGGGAGGATCCATGAGCCTCTTAACCCCTACATGACACATGTCCTAAATTTGGCCTTGCCTATTACATCAAACCTTGTATTTTATGTTCTTATCAATCTATCTCAATATTTCTATGGCCATTATGGGTATAACTCCTAGATAGTTATTATAAATTGAACAGAAGGACATATAGAGTCGTTTTACTATCTCTTTCAAAGTATGAGACATCGCACTGATTTCAGTGGAAATAAACGCCAAAGAGGTGTTTCAAAAAAAATGTAAGCATTTGTAATCCAAAAGAATTGGCTTATTATTTCTTTCAACAACATAAGCACCTAAGGTATTCTGTGTCAAACACTATGCTAGCCAGGTACGTTCAGAAAAACTCGATGCAGTTTAACAAAATGTCTTCAAGGAATTAAAAGTCCAAGTATTTTGTATGAGTCAGTGGAGAGAAAGGACAATCATAGCAGCAAGAAATATAATTGAACATCTGAAACATTGAAAAATAGTGACACATGACCTTTAATAGGCCCCATGATCTTGCCCACCTCTTACATCTGCAGAGTTTAAATGTGGGACTTGGAGTGGTTTTTCTAGGGAGCACACATTTCCTTGACCATGAGAGGATTTCTACCAACTGAAATATATTATTTTTGTTTGTTTGTTTTTGTTTAGTAGGAGTCTCACTCTGTCGTCTAGACTGGAGTCCAGTGGCATGCTCACAGCCACCGCAGCCTCGACATGCTGGGCTCCAGGGATCCCTCCGCCTCAGCCTTCCAAGCAGCTGGAACCATAGGCACGTGCACCACACCCGGCTAAGTTTTTTATTTATTGTAGAGATGAGGTCTTGCCAAGTTGCCCAGGCTGGTCTCAAACCCTGAGCTCAGGCAATCCTCTTGCCTCCGCCTCCCAAAGTGCTGGGATTACAGTGAAATATAGTCTAATTCCTACAGCAAAGTTCATTGAAACTTAATTTGAAGAACACGGTGCTTGCGGTTGGAGGGATAAAAGGGGAATGAGGTAGGATCCAGCACACCCAGTAGCTTCCTGTCTTGTCTGCATGACATTCGCAGAACAGTTGAGACCCAAATAATTGCTCACTAGAGAATCTGAAACACTTTAAAGTAGAAGCTTATCTCAAAGTTTGGATGTGATTTTGATGAGAGATGACTCCAGATGGAGGTGACAGTTCCAGAGCAGAAAAACTTGGCTTGCTCCAGGAGACCAGCTTGTCTAAAAAAGATGAGACCTGATCTTATAGAACAAGGTTAACAATTATAAAACTTAATCGTAACTTTTAAAGTCATATAATTTAAGAGAGGAAAAAAGATTTCTCCCTTCTGGAGCAGGAAAGCCCGAATTAACAAGAGCTTTGCCAAGGCATCTGCTCAAACTTTGTTACTCTCTCAAGCATTTGTTTGAAAAGAGGATTTTGTATTCTCTCGTCATTGTTGCAGTACACTGTAAGGAAAACTGAACTTCCTCAAAATATCAACATTTAATACTCCTTACGTTTCCAACAGGAAAAGGAGGTAAGTCAATATTTTCCCATGTTGATACCTAATTGAATTAGAGTTTTACTTAACTTAATAAATTGCCACCTGGGGTAATAGAGCCATGAACAGAACTCAATTTCAGGTCGGCATCAATTGTGCTTTCTCACTGCAAGTTTGCATGCCTGTGACGAAGACTCTCAGAGGTATTAGGGTAAGAAAACCATTTTCAAAAATGTTATAGGAACAAACTGTGTTAGCTGGGGAAGCTGTGAGTGGGAAATTAGGGTCATGCTTATGCCTGATAGCATGATACCGCAGCACACACTGTGTGGTATTTTGTATTATATATTGCATTTTATAAAACTTCAAAATTAGGGAGGCACTCCTGGCTCAGATGAGGTAGCTTCCCACACTATTTAGACAAAATATGTGCAGTGTGTCTCCAGCTTTATATACTAGGCTGGCAGGAGAATTGAACTTCCAAAAGTTTGATGTAACTTTACTCATGCAGATGTATTATCCTCAATTCCACTGGTTCTTTTTTTATTAAGAACTCAGAAACTTACACTTTGGCTGTTGACAAAGCATGTTGCCAACCTTTCTGCGCCAACTGCCTTCTGTAACCTTTAGATAAGTAAACCCGGAGAGTACCTATGCCTTCTCTCTCCATCAGTCTCAACCAGCTGTTGATTCAAGGTTCATTATAACTCCATCACAGCCCAGTTTTTAAAATCAAAATTGTCAGCCGGGCTCGGTGGCTCAGCCTGTAATCCCGCACCTTTGGGAGGCCGAGGTGAGTGGATTTCCTGAGCCTGCGGGTTCGAGACCCACTTGGGCAGCGAGACCTCATCTCTACAATAAATCAAAAAACCAGCCGGGCGTGGTAGCGCATGCCTGTAATTCTGGCTACTCGGAAGGCTGAGGTGGAAGGATCGCCGGAGCCCAGCAGGTCAAGGCTGCGGTGGTTGGTAGCGGCCACTGCACTCCAGTCTGGGCGACAGAGTGAGACTCCAACTCAAAAAATATATAAATCAAATCAAATCAAATCAAAATTGTCTTTGCTCAAATAGTAAAGAAGAAGAAGAAACATCATGGTTTTCTACAAATATCTTCAAAAGATGGAATCCAAACAGACTATGGATATAAGAGTTTGAGGGTTTGTTTTCATTTTTTCTAAAATGATACAAATAAGTATTGAAGAAAGTGAATAAACACGCCAGGAATTGGATTTTCAAATTCTTATATCTGCTATATAGTATCTATTCTATCTACAATAAAAAAAATGAAGAGAAATAGTTGGGAAGTAATCTTTCCTGAAAAACAAACCTTCAGCAGGAGGTTCAAGGGATTCCCAAAGGAAGGAACTTAAACGTTGTTTAAATTTAGGCTAAGTAAATCCAGAGGGCTATTTCTGACAGAACTCAGTGAGGACTGGCTTGTCTCTGATCATTTGACCAGATTTTTTTTTTTTATCATCTTACCATTGCCAGCCTTCTGCATTTCCTAGAACCTGCTGAGTCTGCCAAAAGAAGCATTAAAGGAAAAATATACTGAAGCTACAAATTAGGAAGTAGCCTTTGCCTTCTTTATGGCCTGAAACTCAGAAAAGACATAGCTTCTATTTCTAGTAGAAAAAAGAAATGTGCCCTTGAAATAACCTTCATTTTCAATAACCAATGGACCAAGCACTGTGATCCTGAGATGCTGTTATCATCTCAAATTTAACTGAAATTTCCTTGATACCCAGAAGTCTTGGATAACTCTTTCAACATTGACTCACTAATTCCTAACAGACAATCAATGAATAATCTACGAAATAACATATGTGCATGTATAATACTGAATAAGTTCATGTAAAATAGATGGAGGGTGTTTATAACTCATTGGCTATGATTACTTGGAATTTTTAGTTATTTTGAAAAAAACAGCAGTAGCAATAGAGGCAAATTGGCCTTTGATTGATGTTCTAGGAGAAAATAGAAGTTTTCCACCAATGTCTTTGCTATTAGGGCAAAAAGAACAAGTTTTACAAAATGGATTACCTAACTGGTTAAATGTAATTCTATGATCTATAATTCAATGTAATTTCACAATCCCCACACAAGAGTATCTGGCCTCCCACACCACACTTAGCAAGGTAAGAAAGTAGGGACAGGAGACACGAGTTGGTTGGTAACCTACTATTAGGCATAGTTAATTGTCTGTAATTGCATGTATGGTATCACAATACATCAAAATTCCTCCTCAGAGTAAGTCGTTCTTTCACTTGAAGTACAACCTGGTTCATTCTCATCAGCCTTCTGGACTTTTTCCTACTTGTATGTCTCTCTATTAAGCCCTTCCATAAAGCCACATTTGTGGCTTTTTAAAAATGATCTTTAGATGTATTTCTGGAGTAGTATGACGTCCAATAATTTTTGTTAAGCGAAATTTAAACAGGTTGACAGAGCCTGCATAACATCATGATAACTAGGGGAAAAAAGATAATGTATAGTAAAAGAAGAAAAAGATTCTCAGCCGGGCGTGGTGGCTCAAGCCTATTATCTCAGCACTTTGGGAGGCCAAGGTGAGAAGAATGCCTGAGTCCAGGGATTTGAGACCAGCCTAGACAATTTGGTGAGACCTCATCTCTACAATAAATAATTTTTTAAAAAATTAGCAGGCCGTGATGGTATACGCCTATAGTTCCAGTTACCTGGAAGGCTGAGGTAGAAGAACATCTGAGCCCAGCAGATCAAGGCTGCTGTGGCTGTGAGCATGCCACTGCACTCCAGCCTGGGCAACAGAGTGAGACTCCAACTCAAAAAAAAAAAAAAGATTTTCATAAATTTTTCTCTTCATAAGTAAGTAAAACAATTTATTCAGACTCCCCCACAATACAAGTTGGGAAAAACTTAGTACTTTCCACAGGCAAGATACAGTGATACTTTTTTATTCACATGGGTACAGTGCAGACTAGGCAAAAAGTAAATCCCAGCTTCCTCACTTACTATTTCTGCGACCCAGAACAATTTGCTTTCTATCTAGAAATCTCTGTGTTTCCATCTGCTAAATGGGGACTATAAAAAGTTACCTCACAAGATTGATGTGACAATTAAAAAATACAGTACAATCAAAGCACTTAAAAATGCCTAGAAGATATTATGTTCAATAAATGTTAGCTACTAAGTAAAAAGTTTCACATTGATATTTTC